GGGGTGGCTGCCATCTTCTACGAGCCTTACCAGGGTCTTGTTATGACCGATCGACCTCAAGAGCTGGGCATTGGCATCGCAAAGGGTGCGACCAGCTTTGTGAAGAAATCTGTCTTCGGTTTCTCTGACAGCATGGCCAAGCTCACCGGAAGTATGTCCAAGGGTCTAGCCGCTGCCACTCTAGACAAAGAGTTCCAAGACCAGCGACGAATGTCCAAGTCGCGAAACCGACCAAAGCACGCTCTGTATGGTATTACTGCTGGTGGCAACGCCTTCGCAACGAGTCTGGCAAGCGGCATCGGAGGACTCGCACGCCACCCTCTCCAGGGTGCCGAAAAGGAAGGCATCCAAGGATTCTTCAAGGGTGTCGGAAAGGGTGTTCTCGGCTTAGCCACGAAACCCGCCATCGGCGCCTTTGATCTTGCCTCGAGTATGTATGCTCATCAGTTAGACATGTGTTGATACTAACTTGCGAGTAGACCTTGCCGAGGGTGTCCGCAACACCACCACCGTATTCGACGCGGAAGGCCTTGATCGTGTTCGCCTCACACGCTTCATTGGCACCGACGGGGTCGTCCGGCCGTACTCGCAACGCGAAGCACTTGGGCAGTTCTGGCTCAAGACGGCCGATGACGGCAAATTCTTCAACGAGGACTACATCGCGCACCTTGAGCTTCCGGGTCGCGACATGCTGGTCATGTTGACCTACGACCGGATCATCCTCGTGCGCACGAAGAAACTCCGCACGGAATGGGATATGCGCCTGAAGGATATCCAAACCATTTCCAAAGAGCGAACTGGAATGAGCATTACTCTCAAGGGGGGTGCTAATGGTCCATTCATCCCGGTGCAGGATGAGAGTTCGCGGAACTGGTTATACCGGCAAATTGCTGTTGGTGAGTGATGGGTTGAGATGTGTTTGCTACGTACAGGTGCTGACTGGGATCTAGCTGTGAACGCTTTCAACGAGAAGTATAATGCCCGTGGGTAGGCTCGACTCGCTATGAGACCCCACGGGGATAATCGTAATGGAGGACAGAAACTGTGCGTGGGAGGCTGACGATTACCTGTTTATGAACAGCGCAATTGTTTATGGTGGGGCAGAGTGGATACAGTTTGCTCCAAGCTGGATCTCCTCGTAGTCGAGATCTTTTGGAGTAGAGAATCCAGCGATATGACCCTGCAATTCAAGTTTAAATTGGACGACCTGTTGATGTTTTCTTTTCTCTGCTCTTGCAATCAAAGCGACTGTACATATTCATATTCAACTTTTTTTTTTTTTTTTTCAAGTTGACTTGACCGGGACCTTTTCATTTGACCACCCTCTGGCTGTAAGCTGTTTTGATGCACCTTTTTCTTTTATCTTTCATCTTTTACGAGAAGTATTGAATTGATAATCCCTGCCCTACCGATTAGGAAGGTAGATTGAATGGGGAGAATTAAGTTACCTTGTCCATACCTTCATATTACCATCGCCTACTTCCACCGATAGAATTAGAAACTCTGTGGAGTGGATCCTCTACTCCACCGTGGTGAACGTTTCGCTATCAAAAACACCATCTCCACCGACAGTCGATAAGACAGTGCTCGTTAAGAGTTGCCTCAATTGGGAAAGATTTTCTAGGATGACTTGGGATACGAAGCTGTGACTTTGGTAGCGATGGATCCATCATTCCATCGAGAGTTCTAGACTGGTACATGACAGGTACGTCCACTGATACTTGGCCGTCATATACTTCCGGTGTCTCTTACCAGTACCATGCTTGTCGTACAAGGTTCAACCTTGTGTTACGGTAGTTGTTCGATGGACGGACTGCCTTGAATACAGTCCTCCTGGACATGCTCACCCCTGCACCATCACGCATGCCAGGCAGTCACAGCGTCATTGATGGAGGATGGCGACAGCAACCATCTTCCACCGCAGACAATTCTCGCTGTTCTTCCTTTGGGTCTGGTACGTTTTGGGAGGGACACCGGGCTTCCTGAAAAGCTGCTAACCCACCGTGGCTGGACCTTTCCAGTTTGGTGCATCTGGCAGGCCTCTACTTTTTCACCAAAGGTTTTTTGCTGACCCGCCAGATCCTGGAGTCCAGAAGCACCTGCGAGGGGCCTCCAAGAGATTTTTGGCCTGACCATGACCATGACCGCAGCCCATCCGCTAATGGACATGCGGATGGTTGTTGGCTCCGGCCAACCTTCAAGAAAGCCGTTATTCTGATCATTGACGCGCTGCGCTACGACTTCACCATCCCCTATTCTCCTTCCATTCAGGCAGCGGAAGAAAAGCCATACCATAATGCCCTCACCGTCCTGCACACCCTCGCAAGTGAGAGACCGCGCAATGCCCTCCTCCTCCCCTTTCTCGCTGACCCCCCGACCACCACCCTCCAACGCCTCAAAGCTCTGACCACAGGCACTCTCCCGACCTTCATTGAAGCCGGCTCCAACTTCGCTGGTTCTGCCCTCGCCGAAGACAACCTCCTCGACCAGCTCCTCGCGTTTCCCTTATCTTCCTACCCCTCTTCCTCGTCCTTCGCCTCCTCCGATCACAATCCTAAGCAACGGCGCCTCGTCCACCTCGGCGACGACACCTGGCTCAAACTCTACCCGGACCATTTCCTCCCACACTTCTCCCACCCCTTCCCCTCCTTCGTTGTCGAAGACCTCCACACCGTCGACACCGGCGTCACCGCCCACCTCCTTCCCCTCCTGCGCAATGACACTCTCCGCCACGAATGGGACGTGATCGTTGGCCACTTCCTGGGGGTCGACCACGTCGGCCACCGGTTTGGAGCCGCGCATCCCCTGATGCGGGACAAACTCCAGCAGATGGGTGCGGTGGTGCGCGAAGTGGTGGCGGCTCTGGACGATGCTGGCGAGGAGACGCTTTTGGTCGTTATGGGGGATCACGGGATGGATGAGAATGGGAACCATGGCGGGGAGACACTGGAGGAGGTTCTGGCTGCTGTGTGGTTATATTCGCCTCGAGCGTGGGTGGGGAGAAGGATCACTGGTGATGGTGATACACATGACGAGGGGAAAGCGGCGGTTCCCCAGGTGGATATCGTTCCAACGCTGGCGCTGCTGCTCGGGGTGCCGATTCCGTTCAATAACCTTGGGAGGCCTATTGAAGAGGTGTTTGCTTTTGGCTCGAGAGGGAGCGATGGACAAAGAGAGGAAATAAACTGGGAACGGTTGGTGAGGGCAAACGCGCTAGCTGCTGCACAGATGGAACGGTTTCATGCCGAGTATACGAGGCTCCATGGTAGTCATAAGGGTGGTGTTGAGGTCCGCATTGGAGATTTCATCCAGGGCGATATAGATTACGGGGATGAGGGCTCCTTGCAACGGGCTTATTGGGGGTTGAGGGAATACCAGGCGGAGATGTTGAAGGGCTACCGACGGGTTTGGGCGCAGTTCAACGTCTTGAATATGGTCGAGGGGGTAGTGATTCTGCTACTGTGTCTTGTTGCAATGGTCTGTGCTCTCGTTGATGGGTCCTGCTTCGACCGGCCGGGAATCAAGTCGAAGGCGGCATTTGCTGGGAGCATGGTGGGCGTTTTTGCTGCAGCTGCTCACTTCGTCTATGCGGACCCTGCATTTCACGTCGTCGTCGAGAGTCTCATCCTAGGCACTACTATAGCCAGTCTGACAGGTTTGATCGCAGGGGCTGACTGCAATGCTGTTCGCCGGTGCTGGCAGTTCGGACTCAGCATTGGGAAGTTGCAGGCCATGTTGTTTCCTCTGGCTCTGGCCGCTGGCTTCGCGTCGAACTCCTACACCATTTGGGAAGATGAGATCCTGCTGTTCTTTCTCTCCAGCTTTGGGATCTGCACATTAGCCTCTGCCACCCAGCCAACCTCCTCCGTTCTGTTCCTGCTACTGACTCGCCTCGCCTCCTATAGCCGCCTGTGTCGAGAAGAACAACTACCCTCGTGCCGGACCACCTTCTACCGACTCGAGAACTACATCCCCTGGCGTATCCTCGCCCCATTTCTGACTGTCTTCGTTATACTTTCGGCATCCAAGGGCTTGAGAAATAGATTCAAGAACGCGTGGAACACACTCTACATTCCTGCACTCTTTCTCCACATTCTGTTCTGGACACTTCAGACCGCCAGCGAGCAGGGCTGGCTCGCCAACATCATCACCGACTACACCTCCAAGACTATATGCATAGTGATCGCTCGAATCGTCCTGCTCGTTGGTTTGTTTGGCCTCGGATCCGTCTTGCTATCTTCCAATCACAGCGACAAACCACACATTCTCACCACCGCCATCTTACTGATATGTATTCTCGTGAGTCCCCCCACCAGCGGTGTTCTGCTTGCATGCCTCTACTCCCAACTCCTCCTGCTCCCACGCACTACAAACCACCGAGTCGGACCCGCCATCGCCGCGCTTCTGGGCTCATTCTACTTCTTCACAACCGGCCACAACGCCACCTTTGCGTCCATCCAGTGGAAAGCTGCGTACACTGGTTTTCGGGATGTGGTGTATCCGTGGTCCCCGCTGCTGGTCGGGATGAATACGTTCGCTGGGCCGGTTCTGGCGGCGTGCGCTGTTCCTTTCTTCTTCGCCCCGTTTGACTCGTCTTCTTCGCCGAAGAGCATGGAAGCTCGAGCCCAGATGATCCTCGCACATGGTATTGTTTACACTCTCTGGGCCGCCGCCACGGCGATCTGGGCGTGTCTTCTCCGGCGGCATCTAATGCTCTTTGCCATATTTTGCCCGCGGTTCCTACTGGCTGGGGTCTTGGTGGGGGTGGTGGATGTGATTGGGTTAGTGAACTCGTTTGTGATGTAGATTGCCAGTAGTCAGCTTAAGAAAGAGTACAACCGGAGAAGTGATTGCGCAATGCTCTTTCTTCCTAGGTTAGGTTATATAGAATGAATGACAGTAGTCGGATGTTCCATGATCCTTCAGTTGACGTCAACAATGATAGAAGCTCAGGAATTGCCCTCTTCCACACCAGCCCCAACCTCCCCTGCCATGTCTCAGTGAGTCGAGTCGTGCTCCCCTTTTCCTCCGAGCCTCAACCCTCACTCCCACTCCCTAATCCCCTCTTCCGTCCGAAGGTGCGGCAACGCAATCACTGGCAGTAATGCACCCAACAAGCCTATTCATACCCTCCCCACTCCCCCCCAAACCAAGGGGGATCCAGCGGGAAGAACAGTCAGTCAAATCATCCCACCATATCCTCCACCCGGACAACACCCCTTCCCCCTCCCCCCCCACCCCTCAACCAACCAAGCATCACACTAGAAAAATAAGCAACATACATGATAACACTTCTGCCCGCCATGGCTCCGATGACAATTGTTCATGCACTTGTCATATCCCTTCCGACACCACTGGGCGTTGGCCTCGTCCGCCGGGGCGGGCGCGGCGTCGTCGACGACGGCCGCTGCCTGGACGGTGTCCGGTTCGGCGTCGGCGGTGGGCACCGCGAGGGCCAGCGAGGTGAGCAGGAGGGTGAGAGGGATGATGAAGCGCATTTTGACTTGGCCTGGCTTGGCTTGGGTCGGGGGTTCGCTTTGGATCAGAGAATGGGTTTGTTGGGGCTTGTTTCTGGTGTTCTCGCGTTGGTGTACTCGGATGGCGATGGAGAGAGTGGTCGTGGTGGAGATGGAGGGGAGTATTTATATCGTTTCTTCGCGCATTTTTCCTGAGCCTTCGGTGCTTGAGATGGGGATGGCGAATGGATTGCGGATTGGTACGATTTTGGTGTTCGTATCTCCTCGTTCAGCAGCTCCATTTTCCACCGAGTTGCGCGTGTCTTCTGACCTTTGGTGGTGTTGCGATGCTGATGCTGATGCTGATGCTGAGAGGGTGGTGGTGGAGGAGGGATACGTTCCGATGGTGATACAATTTTGAGGGTTATTGGGATTGTCGTCTTTGTCGTCGGGACAGAAGAGGGAGAAGGAGAGAGATGTGGCATGGGTCGACATGGTGCTTCTATGTCTGGGTTGGCTGAGTGGTGCCGTTGACTCATGGGGGCCGTTTGGGTTCTGTGGTTTTGTGCGATGGTGATGGAGGTTTTGAAACTTTGAGTGAGGATGGGCTTCGGTGAGGTTGGGATCAGCTGGTGCTTGGTTATCAGCTGGTTGTTATTGATCGGTTGGTAGGGTTGGTGGGAGGTTCATGTTAGATGGTCGTGAGGAGGATGAGGGCTGCAGGAGATAGACCTCGCGATCTAGAGGCAGGACAATCCATTGAGAGAGGAATGTATCTATATTCATCTGTTAACATCAACGTCATCATTGTAAAGATGGGAATAGTCCACACCTGCCCTCAGCACCTACAGTACATCTACATCTACAACAACAACCACCACCACCACCACCACCACCATCCCAGCCCACCCACCAAGAAACCAAGAACACTCGGAAGATATCCACCACATCCCTCCCAGCATTAATCTCAAGATCAAACTTCCAAACCATGAGGCTCGTGAAACAATCCTGCAGAACCTCCCACCCTATCCTCGGTTGACCTCATTCATCCCTCATCAGGGTCCCAAGTCTCAGGGGTTCTTGCCTTGGTGATTCGACACCTCCTACCCCAGGGTCTGCGTAACCCCAAGAATCAATCCGCCCCTCCTTGTGCAACAGTAAGCGGGAGTGAGATGTCGGAGGAGAGGACTGAACAGTCAGGAGACCGTCGGTAGTAGTCCTTCTTGACCCTCACGCAAAAGTTAATGGCGGGTTTAGTGTACAGTACGAGACAACATGCTTCCTCAATCGAGCTTGCTTCCTCCTAGCTAGGTGATATTCTTCGCGCGTTCGGATTTTTTCTTCGTGGGGTATGCTACCTGTACTGGACTGGACTGTATGGACTGTATACTGTATGTATGTACATACTTCCCTCGAGAGAGGAGAGGCTAAGCGGATGTCACTAATATAGGGGCTCCCATGAGCTCGGTGCAGTGCAGTACTGTACCTCATTAGGAAAATGGGGACCCCCCTTCGTGTTCCGCGGAGAAAGAGAAAAGAAAACCAGTTTAAATGCCTGTGGGATAGAGTCAGTAGAGAGGACGTGAAAAGCAATAACACGCCAAAAGCCAAAGTCCAGGTCTAGAGTCAGAGTCACAAAAACTGTCAAGTTTAAATCGAGCCGAGGAACCAAAAACATGATGGATCAGATGAGGCGCGCGCGGGGGCGGGCGTTGTGGGCGTTGTGGGCGTTGTGGGCGTCATACCTGGGGTGTTTCTGCCTTTTGCTTTTTTTTTTTTTTTTTTTTTTTTTGAGGGTGGAGTATGTACTGTACATACAGTACTGTAGAGCAGGTGCTGTTGAGGTTGTTGACGATGGTGGTTTTATTGGTGGTGAGGGGGATGGTCAATTGGAGTGGAAGAGGAAGCAGAAGATCCTAGTTTCTGAATTGATCGACACTGGACTGGATTGTGAAGCTGCCGTATGCTCTGAATCCTTTTCCCTATTGTCTGGTTCATGGTGTACAGTACAGTCTCTACATACACTCAGCAGTGATTACTGAATACTTGGCAACAGCATTGCAACTGAACGCGGGGAATCGATACATCAGGGAGTACTCGATACATGCTGAGCACCAGAAAGAGGCAGAGACAGAGACAGATTCAAGCGTCACACAACAGCTGTTCGTAGAGGAATTCACCCATTAGTGCTGCTGCTGCTGCTGCTGCTGCTGCTGCTGCTGCTGCTGCTGGTAGACCAGGGGGCAGGCAACAACGGGAATGGTATCATGCATGGTACTTTTCTCTTCCTCTCCCTCGCCATCGCCATAGCATCGACCATTATTACATCCTATCCTGTATGGAGTCCATACCAACACCTCAACCCAATTTTCCCATCATGGAGGTCTTCAGGCAGCTAGCAGCAGCAGCAGCAGCAGCATCAGCATCATCAACATCTCCGATCGCCTCAATGGGATTAGGCAAACATGATGACAATCATACTGCGGCAGGAGGATACTGTATGAGTGGAAGGCTCCAATCTCATTTGCCTATTTGGGGGCTTGGAGGGCTAACGTGGAAGGCGGGGGAGAAGAAGAAGGAGAAGTAGACTTAGGGTACTTGCACGCACTGTGCAAGGACAGGGGATATGAGTGAGACATTGACATAAGACATGTAACATCTCCATCTCCATCTCCATCTCCAGATCGACTACGGAGGTAGTCCGCACCAGAACTATGAGAATTTCGAGGAATGGTGAGCTCTGGGGTTGATAGGTAGTACTCCGTAGTTACCTAGTCAGTCAATCAATTCCTGCCCCGATTCTTTCCACGCGAAGCGGGAAGCCAGGAAAATGTACCGGAGTCCACAACCGCCTTCAACCACAACCACAAACATCTGCAACGAGACCCCCTTCTTATCACTTCATCACATCTCCTTTGCCTTTGCCTTGTCTTCCCCCCGGCAAACTCAATGATACAGCTCTGCCGCGCCGGAGCAATACATGACCGCGGAATACCACCGACTCTTACTGAGAGAATAACGTTGGCTCGTATATCTCGATCGGGAAGGCTTGGGCCGAGGCTACACTCCCTTCCTCTCGTTGCCTGATTATCACAACAACCCTCCATTGCGGCCTGCAGAAAGAAAAGGGTGATGGAACAGCAAACATGGGATGAGGTTGATGATTTAGGCAAGGGACAAGCTGAAGCATCCGGGGGAAGGAGGAGAAGGAGGCGTGATATTGGCGAGGGTCCAGGGAAATCGATAGGAACGGAGCGCCTTCGATGGACAGCACTCTGCGGCAAACAACACTTCTTCAGAGCCTGGACTTGTGTGATAGTGATTCACAGCTGAAATGGCAATCAATATGTGGCACGGATATTGATAGGTGCTGTGTGTGCTCTCCTATTCCACCGGCAAGTAGCAGTCTACTCGACAAACTACATTGTAAATATGGAAGGCTGTTGGTCAGCACCGTAGTTCGAAATAGACATCAGAGCTGGAGATGAGCAAACAGAGTCAGAAACGGCCAGCTTGGCACTTCGACTGACACCTGCGTCATGTTGTTCGAGATCACATGGCGACACTGGCAGCCTGCAGCCTGGAGAGTTTAGTGGGATCCTTAGGCCCCAGAACAGGGCATAAGGCATCAACAGCTTCACTTCTCGTCTAGAGTCAACTAGCCCAACCACCATATGCACTTCATCAAGTCACCCAACAGTTCCCACTTCCCAACCATGACGAAGACATCAGCTGTCTGGTGAAGTGGAGAAGGGGGGAAAAACCGCCATCGCATCGCATCGCATCGCATCGCTCATCGGTTATCCCCTCCGTCCACTGTTTCGATTGCCCCGCATCCGTTTATCCTCCTGTCCCCCTCCACAAACGCAACCCAAATGTCCCAGACCAATTCGGAACAACAGGTTGGAACACGAGGGCACCTGGCAGTGGGATGCAAAAAACCAAGAACACAACCCACCCAATGGTCGAACACCCTGAGGTATGGTCAAGTTACCTTAGGTTAGTAACCATCTCAAGCACAACTAACCTAAACTGAAGCTAACCTTCTGGGTCCAGTCACCCAGGCTCCGTTGACTCCCTCCCCTCTTTCTCTCGCTCTATCGATTCCAACAGAAAGCAACAATTCTAGAGTCTAGATTGTTCCGACACAATCAAGTTTTCCCCAGAAAATACGAACAATTCAAGACTCCAGAAAATAGGAGGGTAGGCCTAGACCCGATCGTCTGGGTTCGGACTTGGTCTATCTGTCACTTTTTGTCCTGTTCATACGGGGTTTCCAGTTCCAGCTCGTAGGTAGTCGAGGAGGAAGACCCAACAAAGGGGGGGAAGGGGTGACCAGTACAGTACAGACAGCTGCTGTAGCTTACTTATCCCAATCCCGCAATTATCAAGGTGCAATAGGGCACACCGCATCACGCTAATGGATTGGCAATTTGTTCTGCTACAGTTAGTTGAGTTGTGGCGGCGGCTGCCCCGGGCTGCAAGAGATGCTGCAAACTCACTCACTCACTCACTTATCGCATGTCTAACTAGCAGCAGAGGAGGTTAGTCTCGTGTAAACATGAGAGCGTCGAAGCTAAGCCAGTGACGGTGGTAGTCCTCTAAGTTAGCTGGAGTGCTGTACTGTACGGAGAAGTACTCTCCCTACGGCGACTAAGAAATAATCCCTGCCATAGGCATTAAGCAAAAAGCATCGCAGCGCATCAACGTCATCATCCTCCACTTTTCTTCTTTTCGTGCTCCGAGCACCCCCGTCAGTTAACCGCTGGGTAACAATGTACGGAGTACATACAGTACACACCTCTCTTCAATCCGGCAAACCAGCCAAACCCAAACAGACCCATTGTTCCAAATCTACGGCATGAGATCGTCCTTCCCAAAGAAAGCGACGTGAGTCTAGTTAGTCTCGGTCCGGCCCTCTTTCTCCTCTCTCTCCCTTTCGGCGCAAGTGATAAGGAAAGGGTAAAGATCAACCCCAAATCCTGATTTTCGTTTTCTCATCCGTCCACTTCAATGCGGAAACTACATCCCACTGGCTCAGAACGCATGCCCCCCTTCCTTTAAAATGAAATCAGGATTTCCTCCGGGCCGGCCATGGCTTTGGCGGTTTTAGCTAGAGCCTAGTCTAGGGGTACCAGACACCCAGACTAGGGTTGAGTTGTCCACTTCAGTCGACATTCCACAAATCCCCGACGGGTGAAGGATTGGTTTAATCTATTGCCCGGAGTTAGTTTCCATGGCTGTTCTGATAGGGCTGGTTTTCGGGGCAAAGCCTTTCCCCCTCCCCCCCCCCCCCCTACTCGATTTGAGATAGATCGATAGATGGCCCCGGAAGTAAGATAGATAGATAGACACACTTGTCTACAGTACGGGAGCCTCCCCGTACCAAGAATATTCCTTGTCCCTAACTACTGGACGGCAATCTATTCTTTTTTTGTCTCTGGTCGACCTTGGGGATAGATTCCGTCTTTTCACATGCGAGCTTTTTTTTTTTTTTTTTTTTTTTTTTCATTTTTGCCGCCGTGAACGGGAGGTCTGGACCGTTACTACTACGTAGAATTTGATGTCGATTGAAGGTGTTGATCAGTAAGTCGGCGTGGTGGATAGGTAGTAGAGAGGTGTAGATCCGTGAAAGCTGGATACATAACCAACAGAGCAAATAGACAAATCGGAGGCGGGGATGAGATGTCATGACGGGACGGGGAATGGTTGGGATTGCTGGACGCATGTTGCGTTGCATAGTATAGATTGCAAGTTATCTCGGTATAAGGTTTCGATCGGGAGAGGCGCTCTCCACCGGGGTGGGTGTGTTCCACCACGATGGGCTGGTGGCGTTTGACGCTGGCGTGGGCGTGGGCGTGGGCGTTATTGTGCTTTGGTTATTGAAACATGACATCTCAACCTGAATTCCCCGAGGAGGGGAGAAGGGGAGGGGTGGACAACGAACACCTGACAGGACGGGACTCCGGGCTTAGTACTGGGCTTCTACACATCGGGCTATGGGCCTTTTCTTGAGAACTGGAATGGTAAGTGGTGCGGTGCGGTGCGGTGCGGTACGGTACGGTGTGGTGTGGTTAAATCAGATACTAGATAGCTAACTGGGTCTGTCGCGGCTGTTGGGGTTTATGCGACTAGCAGATAATCTAACCAGAGAAAAACAAAAAGGGCGAGATGCATTCTCTCTCTCTCTCTCTCATCGCCGATTTCCCGCATAGCCGTCCGTCTTATCTAGTTCGCTCAGTTACCACTAAGTTACCTGGTACGGAGTACTCACCCCCCTCCCCTCCCCTCCGGACGCCATCTGGTGGAGCCCCGAAGTCCGCCAGCCGTTTCAGCATCCCGTCGATCCTTGGCTGACGTGGGTTGTACAGTCCAGTTCAGCTGCAGACAACTAACCTTACAGACCAACAGCACCCGCCGTCAAAAAAAGCTGTGACCACTCATCCAGGGGCATCAGATCACCACATCGTGCAGCCTTCGTTGCCTTCGGCGCTACACGGCGAACTCATATCTCTCCAACCAAATCGAGCTACCGGCATCGACCGATCGTCCCAAAGACCTACCCATGTACAGTACCTTACCACTGGGCGTCCGTCGTGCGCCGCCTCGTCACCACACTCTAGCTCCAAGGGACAGACCATGTGGGGAGTTAAGCAATTCTTCCAAAATAAGTACATGCAGCCACATTTCCAAATGGGTGGCAATCATCCCCCACCACTCCTCTTTCGGCGGCAACTGCTCGCCATCGGGCATCAGGGCAGAAACCAGGCCATGCCGGAAAACAAATGACAGCCTCTCAGAGCTCGCAACAAGGTATCAAGAAAAACACAAAAGTACGACAGAAGGCCTCCTCCCGCCCATTAGGATCAAACTCGATTTGCAACAATAGGCTTAAAATCAGGACGAGCAATAAATAGTCTGTAAGATGCTAAGATACGGGGCCAAAGAAAAGAGACCAGAATATGAACTCGTAAACAACACTCGTGGACATCTCTGTATGAAGGGTGGAGTGGAGCCTGATATCTCGACAATTTCGACAGTTGGACCTCAGAACCATCAACTTTGTCGGAAATAAAACGATGCACTGGGATAACCCAAGAAACGAGCATTCACATCAACCAGGGAGTGGCTAGATTTCATGTGAGCCACATCCTCTCAGCCAACGCTGAGGAACCCCCAGTCAGTGCCTTCAGGCTGGCTCAGGATGTATCCATGTCGTGGGTAATCGTAACGCTGCTGTTGCTGCTGTTGCTGCTGCTGCTGCTGTTGCGCGTGTGGGTGGTGCTGGACGTAGTGCATGTATGGCTGCTGTACATGAGGAATGTCAGCCGACAACGTGACCGGCACGCTGGGCGCAACCACCGGGGACTGCTCATGGAAGGGCACGGACGTGATCTGCACATACTGGTGCGGGTAGTAATTGTGGTGCGGCGGTAGCGTGGTGGTGTAGCCGAAGTGTGCCTGTGGAAGAATGTACTGTGGTTGATGCGGCGCAGAGATGGCAGCCGGCGGCTGATACTCCTGGTCAGAAGCAGGATCCTCTGACGACGTGCGGCTCGCGGCCGCTCCATGTGTTTTCTCATGGTGTTTAGTCAATGTAGTCTTGCGGCAGAAGCTATCGAAGATCAGAGGCTAGCTTTCACGGCATTCATGATTTGTACGTACCTTCGTTCACAGGTAGGCTCTTGGCAGATATAGGGGCGCTTTCCGGTGTGGATCCTTCGATGACGGGCCAGACTCGATGACTAGAACGGTCAGCTTTGATGTCCGGCAAGAGGGAATGATCAGCACCACGCACATCCGAGAAAGCTTTGCCGCATCCTTCGTGGTCGCACGAATGGGGCTTCTCGCCAGTATGCGTCCGCACATGTACTGTCAGGGCACTCCGCTGGATGAAACTCTTCTTGCAGTCCTCATGATTGCAGTGGTAAGGTCGCTCGTTGGTGTGGATGCGGTAGTGCCTGCAGAGATCGGATTTGCGGTTGAAGGACTAGGCAAGATCGTCAGTATAGTTCGTACACCCGGTTGGCTCAGGCCATGATTGAATGTGCATGAGCCATAGCTAAAACCAAATAAATACCTTATTGCAGCCAGGCCAAGAGCAATTAAAGTCGCGTCCATTGCCGGGGGCCATGGTCGCTGCAGGACGAATGTTTGCCGCGGCGTGAAGTGTCACGGGGGGGTGTGGGCCGCGATAAGGTATGTGACCGCCGCGAGAGATCGACGGGGTGATAGGTAGAAGGTGAGAAGGAGACAGATTGGTGGTAAAGCAGGATATGGCTAAACGTATACAGGAAGACACAAGATGGCGTTTAACAATTGGCGGGTTAGAGAGTCTGGAGAGCTTGGAGGAGAGAGTCGAAGATAAAGGGAGTGAGGAGAAGAAAAGCGAGGAAGGAGGTTGAGGAGGCGAATACTAGTATAGCAGGAATGTCGCAGCGAATTAAGTATGAAAGTCTGCAGCGCCGCTAACAATCATTGGCGGCGACAGGCAAACCAGTCATTTGACAGCCAAGTCGCAGGCTGGATGATGAATCAAATAGGTAAGCGCAGCGAGCAGTCCAGGCCAACAACTTTTGAGGCTGGACTATAATAAGCTGAAGGAAGAGGAGGAGGAGGTAAGAGGAGGTCAAGTAGTAATCCCAGTAGTAGTAATAGTGGTGGTGGTGGTGGCCGAGTCCAGAGTAGCCGATAATAATAACAATAATAACAATAGTACGAGCCGTGCTCCTTTCGTATTGGAAACAACGGTTCTAATGATAATTATTATCGATGACAACAGCAACCACAAGATCGATCTCTTTGACGAAGCCCTCCGAGAAAGGCTCTTGGATTTGGACAAAGTTGCAATGCGATGGTGGTACAAGGGCAGCTGCTGCAATTCTTAAGTTCTGTTCTCGCCAGGTACAAGCGGACCGGCCCAGGGTGGAGGATGGAGTGTAGTGGGGATAATTTGAAAGAGGAGCCCCCCTGGTTGACCGGAGAGAGGCAAAGACAGATGATAAAAAGATAGAAGAGAGATCCGAGGTTGGGAGTCAAGAGCAAGAAATACTCTACGTTGAAAGGAGCAGCTGCACGAAGGAAAGGAAAGGAAAGGAGCTGACAGTTCTGTCAGTTCCCTACAAATACAAGCAGAACAACAACATTAGAGAGAGCTTGGCCTAGTAGTAAGTAGTAAGTTAGCATTTAGTTAGTAGTAGTAACTTAGTCGTAGTCTGTTTAATATTTTTATTTTTCTCCATCTAATTTATTTAGTCTTATTATTATTTCATCTCAGTCGATTTTATTTTTCATCTGTCTCTCTCTCTCTCTCTCTCTTGCTCTCTCTTGCTCCCCCCCCCCTCCCCTTCTGCATTTAATTTAGCTCAGAATTATTATCATTTTTCTTTTTTCCTGACCAAAAAAAGAGAAAAGAAAAAGAAAAAGAAAAAAAAAAAAACTCTCGCAGTTCCTCATGTTTCGCCTCCCCATCTTTTCATTTCTCGCCGCGTATTTTAACGCCGCATACCTCATTCACGGTACCTGGGAAGTACCTAGTCACTAGGCTTGTTGATTACATATCCATCAGTTCCCACCAGGGAACCCCAATGAGTAACTTAGAATAGTTAGTAGCTCCGCTGGATCGACCTTTCTCATACTTCCACCAAGACTCCAATGAAGAAGATCGGGAGATAGCTTCCGCGGGGGAGGGGAGAGGTAGAGGGAATCTGCAGAAGAGCGACAGCCAGAGAACGATAATAACACAAAACACCGACCCGACAAGTGCTCCCAACCAGCAAGGCAACGACGACCTGATTAGTCTGGACACTCCATACCTTATGATCGAAGTACAGAGTACTTCGTACAGACATGCAGATACACTCCCACCACCGCACATATGCACACCGAACAACGCAGGTAAGCCGTGGGGTGGGCTGTCTCCTTATGTCTACCAAGCAGTGGGCACTTTGATTTAGGAACTCCCCTTAAAATGACAGGCCGAGGAGGCGTCCACTGGGGCCCGCTGTCGCGATGCCTGGGGTAAATCACTTGCCTAAGCCGAGGTCGCCGGAAGACCCAACCTTTAAGACCAGGAGCAGAGGCAGCCTGAGCGAGTGAGGGAGGGAGGTTTATTATTATTATCACCTACGAAAGCGGTTTTGCTACAAGTGCAGCAGGAACGAACACCTGTCCAAGAGAACGTTAGAAATGAAAGGATGCCTACGTAATTGCTATTTTTCTTTTCTGCATTCTCATCCTACAGAACAGTCTTTCTCCAGTCAGGGCTAGGTTGATTTTGGGAATTGGGTGGAAAGAGAAGACCAGGAAGAGGAGAGGAGACAGAGAGACAGAGAGAGACAGAGAGAGAGAGAGAGAGGGGGGGGGGGGGGGGGGAAGGAGGGGAACACCAAAATCCCCACCGGATCCGCCTGTGCCTTAGAATGCTGAGAGGCTAGTATATAGACTCGACCAATAAACACGCCTAAGACCGCAGGCTGGCCTTGGGTTAAACCCACTAGTCTGCAGATGGTTTAGCAGCCTGCATTCGAAGATGTAATCTGGACTTCAGCACTAGTATCAGATAGTAATTGGAGTCGTCGGCCGCATCTAGTACGTAACATTACCTAGCAATATGTAATGCTTCCCATACTTTACTTACTTTTACTTACGAGTACATATTTGCTTCGTGCTGTAGTTGATTCTTGCTGGATACGAACAAACCCCAGATCGCAGACTTCCAACAACCCAGGCAAACGTGCTCTGGCAGTCTCGGGAGATACCTGCACAGATCAATGGCAGAAGTGAAAGGCAATGTCATCCATTTTCAATAGAACTGAGAAGGTTATCGTATAATTGCAGACATAAAATGGGAACTGGAGAAGTATCACAGCAGACTCACTCCAATACAGCCCGCAGTAAGTCGGGGCACAGACTGCCCCGTACCACACTGGTATGCTTAGAGTGTGGACCAACAGCAAGCTAGGCCAAGTAAGCCAAGGTGTCTCTGGAAGTGTACTGTACAGTATCCGCATACCGCAGACGTACCAAGACACACCACGTTACTTTTCGCTTGCTGACATCAAATAACCCCGTATCCCTTTGGTCCTCGTTCAATCCTGGCGGTAACTTAAAGATGATACCTATTTGTACGTACATAGTAGGTGAACCAAGTATGTATGTAATTCAACTAACCTGGTGCCAGACAATCCCACACCCAAACCAAGGTCCATCCATCAATTGCCAGTCTCTATCCCCGCGATCGAGCTGGAATTAGATTCCATGACTGGAGCTTTCGGCAACCTGCCTGCCTGATTCGCAAGCGGAACTGACCGCCAGCAGCGCGTACCGAACAGGAAGTGACATGGGGAACAGCCGAAAGAGGGAAGCTGCCATAAGACTTAGTGACAGGCGAGGCAACACCAGCCGGGAAATTATCAGCAAGGGATAAATTAATGTTAGTAGGCGATGCAACAATTCTCTACCCCCCCCCTCCTCCCTTCCTCTGGCCAAGTATGGGGAACATTTGAAGCTAGTCCAGAGCAGCTCTCTCCTTCGAGGGATTGGTAAGGTATCAATCATCCAGCCATCCATCCATCGATTCCATCGATTCCATCGGATGAGAGAACCGGGAGGTGGGCCATGGTTCTTCCTACAATGCCGCCCTGGCTCGTCGGTCCGGATTAACTGCTACTTGGCCCGAATAGGCAGTAGTTGTCCTGGTTCTGGGATGATTCAAAGTCGACCAAGAGTGAACAGATGATATCTTTGGCGATATCGATTGGCTCTATCGTATATTCTAGGATAGGGGGACAATCGCAAACGAGAACGCCACGGCTTACCACCGCGGCTCTAACGATATGCTAATTCGAGGCCGTCCAGGTGAAACGCCAACGATCCTCTAACTCCGATCAGTATCATCGTATCGCATCATGGGGAGGTCTTATCATCGATAAAGGGAGAATCCGGAGGTGCCATTTCTCCACGTGGCGGGCTTCCAAACCCATCTGGCCCCCACAAAGCGAGCTCCTGTGAGGACCTTGTACGGAGTACTGCGAAGGGAGCTTTCACCTTTCTGATTGCTCTATGAGTCAGTCAATAGCTAGACTGACAAGCTGACAGACAACCTGAGTTGACTCTCCCCCACCCCTCCTAAACCAGGGAGCAAGGACCACCTAGCAGCGGGTCGGTACAAGCTCTCATGCTCTCTCCATGCCCTAGTCGACCACCCCCTCCCCCCCGTCCCCCTGTCCCCCTTCCTTCCGCCCGTTCCACCGTGGCCATTCATTATCAGTCTGATAAGCGGAAATAAGCTATACTTACATCCGAGGCGATTCAATAGCTATCCGTTGTCCGTTGACAGAATTGCCATTTGCAGCAGAGCGACCAGCAAAGAGGCGTACGTTGTGGCTTGCAGGCGCGTAGCTCTGTCTGCTTGTGGAGCTTGCGTGTTTTCTCTCTCTTCTTTATCTTCTTCTTCAAACACACACATATCCTTCCTCTAATTTTATCCTGTCATCATCAAGCAAACCATTTTCGATGTTCGTGGATTCAAATCCACATGGTCTAGATCTGACGTTTTATCACGATCAAATGAACGAATTGACCAGTGGAATGAGTTATGACTTGTGAGGCTTTTTGGGCGAGTGGGGGGAAATCCTAAGGTAGTTCAGCTCCGACAGCTTAAGTTAGTGGATCCTTCGTTCATCCTCCTCCACGCCTCCCCCCCATCCCTCATCCCAATAATGACAGCGGGTTATATCAAGGGATGATGGGCCGACGATGAAACAAAGACCGACCATCACCGCCTTTGCTATGTATTTCTGAAGTAGGAGTCTAGTAGCGAACCGCCCACTTTTCCTCGCCGACTTAAGGTTTGGCCATTCATGGGGTGGGGGCCGGGGGAGAAAGAGAGAAGTCAAGGGAAAAGAGAAACTAAACTGATAAAGGAATCCACTTCGACAATCCATCCAGATTACTCCCTGAACCCGGGAATGGTCACTCCTGTCAGTTCTGTCAGTATCTACAGAAACACACACCACCACATCCACATCCACAATCACCGATCATCAAATCTGCAATGCACTGAACAGATCGTCATCCGCTGGACAGATAAAGTTTTTTTTTTTTGGTCTACATCGTTGGTCCAGCAAATAA